GGGGGGGGGGGCTCTACTGAACTAAGGCATTACATTGGGGCTCAAATGTATGAATCCACTGGTTCCATCAGTACACATATTGGTACAATGCTGTCTATTACATCACTGATGAAATGTTTTATCACTCAGGTATCTCATTGACTGTACTTGTATTTCTCTTTTCTAGTCTTCCGTCCACTCAAAGTTTTTTAACACTACATGTTGCAATTTGGAGTTGCCCAAGTTGTCCATCAATATGGACTAGCGGGGATCGAACCACCGATCCTCTGATTGAAGGGCGACCCGCTCTAACACTGAGCACAGAGATATTTGCCTGATGCAGCAGCCTCATATGCATCAGGCGTAACCACCAGCATCATTTATCAATTTACCACACTGACAGTGACTATTCAACCTGGGTTCTTCTGTTTATTTGTTTTTCTGCTTATTCCTATTTCTCTCTTTATGTGACAGCACAATTCTTTCGACCAATAGGGGGCGCGCCCCTGCCTTTTGAAGACCTGATTACGGTCTGGCCCATCTTAGACAGGTGGGCATGTGATTGACTGAAAGGTGACAGGACGGTGTCACCAAGTCATGATGTGACTTAAAAAGTGACATTGGGAAAAAAGGCCAGTATGAAATTCACAGTCCAAATATGGTCACTTCTGTTCATTGGTTGCAAAAAGTCAAGATAGCGATACACTTGAAAACCGATGTCCCCAAACCAATGGGTGACATCACGACACCTACATCCACTTCTTATATACAGTCTAGGATCCAGTGGCGGCTGGCCAATAGAGGGTGCTAGTGCGCCGCCCCCCCCTTGAGCCACAGAAAATAAAAAATAAATTATACAAATTGTCAATATTTGTGTTTTTGAAATATGGAATGCACCCAGTAATATTTGTAAAATACAGTGGTGGGCCATCAGAGCCAGCTAAACCTTCTCTGCTGGCCTAAACAGAATCACAGAGTTATAGCTAATTTATAATTTAATAATTTTTTCATAAATACACTACATGTATTATAATTTTTTTCCCATTAGCTTATTTTGCATGTTGGAATAAAGGTTAAATATTTAACTGCAAAGTAGTAATGCGTGTTTGATACTTTCATTTTGTTGCATTAAATCATTCTGGGATGTTTGCTGAAATTGATTGGATGTGGCACAGCCCTACCTAGAACATGTTCCACCAGCCGCCACTCCTTGGATCCCAATGTGTGCATACTGCGTGCAACAGTACGTACTAAAAGTGAAAAGAAATAGAATGTGATTTGGAACAGTCTTCCTCTGTCCAGCAGTGTGCTAATGTAACAGCTCTGCCGTAAACCTAAGCTCCAGCTGTCATCGTTTCCCTGCACTACTGTCAGATGGCTCTATCTTAAAGATGACCTTTTCTTTCCTCATGAGCAGCCTACTCCTATTATTTGAGTAAATAAGACTCAAGTGACATATTTCACTCGCTAGGGGGGCTAACATATGCTATCCTGTTGCATTATGGGACATGTAGGATCCAGTGTTACTGAAGCTTGCCCTGTGTACTAGGGACTGATGCTTCCAGCTGGTAGTAACATGTTATCTGTATGTGGATACTTTTGTGGACAACGTCCGACCTACGGGTCTTTGAATTGACACTGTGTATTAAAATGTGTTACAGGTGACTTCTCTCTGCATTGAGATCAGATCTGCATGTAACTGGGGTGGGTCGTCCTTTAGGGTGGTGGTTCTATCCCTAGTTCCTCCTGTTGAAGTGTTGTTGCACTGCACACTGAACCCCGAGTTGCTTCCCGAGCTTCGGGCTTTAAAGGCAAGGCAAGGCAAGTTTATTTGTAGAGCACATTTCAACAACAAGGTAATTCAAAGTGCTTCACATAAAACCATTAAAAGCATCGAAACATAAGGCAAAAGAAAAGGAGATTTAAAAACAATTAAGAACATTCATTGAAACAATAAAAACAGTGTAAGAAATAAAATACAGTAAAATGCAGAAATGCAGGAAATTGATTAATATATTAACTGAATATGGTTCAATTAAAGGCAGCAGCAAACAGAAAAGTCTTCAATCTTGATTTAAAGGAGCTGAGGGTCTCAGCAGCTTTCTGGGACTTTGTTCCAGATATGTGGAGCAGAACAACTGAACGCTGCTTCTCCATGTTTAGTTCTGACTTTGGGAACAGAAAGTAGACCGGTCCCAGACGACCTAAGGGGTCGGGATGGTTCATAAGGTAGCAGCAGATCAGAGATGTATTTTGGCCCTAAACCAATCAGTGCTTTATAAACCAACAGCAGGATTTTAAAGTCAAGTCTTTGTTTGACAGGAAGCCAGTGCAAAGACCTCAGAAATGGAGTAATGTGATCCACCCTCCTGGTCTTAGTGAGGACTCGAGCTGCAGCGTTCTGAATCAGCTGCAGCTTTCTGACTGACTTTTTACAGAGACCTGTAAACACACCGTTACAGTAGTCCAGTCTGCTGAAGATAAATGCATGGACAAGTTTTTCCAAATCCTGTTGAGACATAAGTCCTCTCATCCTTGATATATTCTTCAGGTGATAGTAGGCTGATTTTGTAATTGTCTTGATATGGCTGTTCAGGTTGAGGTCTGAATCCATAACTACACCCAGATTTCTGGCTTGGTTTGTGGGTTTTAACATCAGTGATTGAAGCTGAGCGCTGATTTTCAATCGTTCGTCCTTGGTACCAAAAACAATTACTTCTGTTTTATCTTATCCAGTTACCCAGCCCTTGTATGGGATTATAGTCCCCTGGTGACATAGTTATGTAGATTTGTGTGTCGTCTGCATAATTATGATAACACACTTTGTTGTTTTCCATAATCTGAGCTAGTGGAAGCATGTAGATGTTGAAAAGAAGAGGCCCCAGTATTGAACCTTGGGGAACACCACATGTCATTTTAGTCAGCTCTGATGTGTAATTAGCTACAGACACAAAGTATTCTTGGTCCTTCAAGTAGGATTCAAACCAGTTGAGTGCTGTGCCAGAGAGTCCCACCCAGATTTTTAGTCTTTCTAGTAGTATGTCATGGTCGACCGTGTCGAATGCAGCACTGAGATCCAGTAATACTAAGACTGAACTTCTGCCATTGTCTGTGTTTAAGTGGATGTCGTTGAAAACCTTAACAAGAGCAGTTTCAGTACTGTGGTGCTGTTGAAAGCCTGACTGGAAGACATCAAAGCAGTTATTTACGGCCAAGAATTTGTTCAGCTGTTGGAAAACCGCTTTTTCAATTATTTTACTTAAAAATGGGAGGTTTGATATTGGCCTATCATTGTTCATTGTTGCGGAGTCTAAACTAGCCTTCTTTAGGAGTGGTTTAATAACTGCAGTTTTTAGGGCTTGTGGGAAGACAGCTGAGAGAAGGGATGTGTTTACAGTTTGTAAAAGATCAGTGGTCATGCAGTTTGAAATATTTTTGACAAAGTGTGTTGGTAGAATATCCGAGCAGCAGGAGGATGACTTCAGATCTTGTATAATGTCTTCTAGGCTTCTAAGGTTGATTGAATGAAATTGTGTCATGATATTTGAATGGATGTTATTTAGAGAAGGGGACAACACATGTCCTGTGGTTGGTGTGGAGGCACTGACTGCTTGTCTAATTTTCTGAATTTTGTCAGTAAAAAAGGAGGCAAAATAATTGCATGCCAGGTGGATTGGAGCTCAGCAGCTACGGACACTGGAGGGTATGTTAGCCTGTCAACGGTAGCAAATAAGACACGTGTAAAGCAGCCCACTGCTCCAAATGCTGAGGATGGGTAAAATACAGAGGTCACATTTTATGTTAAGGACTATTGTAATAAAGTTTAAGGTTAGGTGGGGCTGGCTGACTTGACCATCTCAAGGGAAACAATGCTGCTCTGAGCTTTTCCTCCTTTGCAGGGGAAGCAATCCCCTTAGTGAGGAAGAGGACGTTTCTCTGATGAATGTAGCCACACTTACACAAGGTTGAGATCACACTGCGAGCTTGGCCACCTCCAAATGTGGTCTGGCCACTCACTTTATGGACGTGCAATAATAAATCATTGGGTTAATAAAATCTCACTATTCCATGGTATTTGCTGGCATCAACTGTGTCAGTAGAGCATCAAGACGGGGCTGAAAAGCAAATGGTGCTTCACTAAAACCAGCAATAAGCAATAAGGCACAGCAGGTGCTTTGAAAAATGTGCATTTCACTTGGAAGTGTTCAACAATGGGAACGACCCATCACATGCTCCATCTTATGCAGTTCTCTTGTTAGACTATCCTTCCATGATCTTCATTATGCTTTCAGAATAATTACACCTTCTGTATGCTATCCTGCAACAAGCATGATGAGATGCACACTGGCCAATACAAATCTGAGGAAGATTCAGATTCAATACAAATGTTTTAAGTAAACAATATGTGGGACATCACGAAAACAAGGTAATATTCCATCATTTCAAACATGGCTGCTTTAAACTGGTAAGATCAATAAAGATCCTGTTTTTAAGATTCAATTCTGACTTTTTGACCGTCAGTTGCACTATGAAAAAAAAAGGAAGACATCAATACGGCATGTAATACTGCCACCTGTTAGGGGTCATGTTGGAGACAATTAAAAGGTGCTAAATTCAAATTTCAGAGCATATCTATGATGTAAGGATTGCCTCCACACGGTGTTATCGGCTGTAACCGCCATGTAAGATCAGTCCAGAGCAGCGGCCGTGAGGCAATCACGGCACACATAACGAGCATAGATTTGACTGCAGGTCCAGTGTAGCAATCTGTGAACAGATTCATGAAGTGCGAATTGAAAGAACAAAAAGACAAAAAGCTCAGTGATGTGTTCATTGCAGCAATAAATAAGACGTCTGATAAAAAGGAGTAGAGGATTAGATAGATACAAGATAGCACAATGTTTTATGTCATCTTTATACCCACTAAATAAAAGCTAAGATTATTAATCAGTATCAGAAAAAAAGGATAGAGGATGCTATAAAATGTGTAAAATCCACTGTACTGCAAATAATAGACTAACAGATGCACACACACAATAGACACAAGCCACTCAGACTACTGCACAAGCCTTATTGGATCGCTAGTGCATAGTTTACATGTGGCAACAAAGTAGAGGACATGAGACCTTCAACAGTCAGTGTCCGACATGCTGTGATGTACTTGTCTCCTGTATATACCGAATTGACTGTAAACTGTACATATCATGTATTGACTATCTATATCAGCATGTTTGCACCCTGCACCATTATTATTATTGTTAACAGAAAAGTCAGATTTGTAGACGTAGAACGTTGTTCCTCGTTATATATGTTCATCTTCTTTCTTCTGCTCTGTTGTCCCGTCTTTAGCTGCATATCTACAGTGACGGATATCTACACACCTGGCCAATAAAGCAGATTCTGAGTCAGACTTCTTAAAGAGTTACAATTTTCTGGATTTATTCTGAATGTCAAACACACATCTTTGTTTCAAAATTTCCCCAAAACAGTGATTTCAGTTTATTAATCGGTTCACATGGATTATTAGTCTGTGGAGACTGGATCTGTGCACCCCTGTAGTGTTCTATGTGACCTCTGGCAGGATCCACAACAGTGGAGGGCGAAGGCACAGAGGCATAAACTCATCAGGTGATTAGTTGATAATAAAATGATAAAATATCCATCTATACCCATTAACAAGATAATTAGAGTTACAAAAATGTCTGTAAAAGTGATTATTAATGTGATGTGCGTGAGCATTGTTCCACCAGAGGAACAGCAGGTCACATGACGACCAATCAGTAACATGGGGAGAAGACTGGCTCAGACTACCAGCTGGAGCTTGGCAGTCTTGCACCAGGTGTAGGGTTCAGTCATTCAAATGTCACTCAGTCACACTAAGAGTGGGCATCCTATTAAAATGGGACTCAGCAGTTGATCACTGAGACTAGCCCCGTACAGCCTGGAGGACCTTCACAGTTTGGCTCTTGGTGTTTGTTCCAGCAGTGTCCTCATGTCCAAGAGAGCCCCCTCCACAGCCTGGGCCAGATGTGCTGCACTTGTGTCTTTACAGGTGTTAAAAGACGACACCGCAAAGTTGATGTGATCGCTCATAGGATTGTAGCACACACCGTATCCGTCGGGTACAGCCGGGCCGAAACACATGACGCAGTCCGTCTTGGAAGGTACCTTGTGAGGTAAAGAGAATGCAAATACATGAGGCATATTTTCCATCTGTTGCTCTTTTAGGTCCAAGTGTTAGATCATAGGACAATATGCAGTGGTAGTGTCATCCCTGACCAAGAATGTGCGATATGACGATATCAGATGGATTAAAATGTCTTCACTGATTCTATTAGTTGCAGTTCTATGGTGTATGGTCTATGCTGCTGTAAAAACCTCTGCAAACACAATCAACTGGAAATAAACCAGAAACTTTAAGCAGCAGAGTCTAGGATTATAGATCCAACACCGCCAGGCATCACACCGTTGAGTCTCTTCACAGACAGGTGGAGTGAAGATAACATTGTCGGTAGCCCATGGCAACAAACAGTCTCGGAAGTGAACAACACGCTAACATGCTGACAGATTCAGTGTTGTCAGCTGGACTAGAGAATATTCACTTACAGCTGATCCTCATTGCTCTCCGTGAAGTTAGCTGGAAGTGATGTAATCTACCGTTTTATGTGGAGAGTCAGCTGCTCAGTTTAAAAAATAGCATTTTAAAAGCTACATTGTTTGTCAGCCACCGGTCATGTGGCAACTTGGAAGCAGTTTGGCCTTGTGTGTTCTTAATAGTTCAGCATACAGCTAATACAGCAGTCATAAAAAGCTCCTGGTGGTCTTCACCTTAGTTTTGGAAGAAGAGCAGAAACAGGCAAACCGGCTTTAAAAGTGACACATTTTCTTTATAGATAATTGACTTGTGTTAGATCTGATTTATGATGATGGGATTTCAATAAGTAACTGTTAAATAAAGTGAACAACAGATTTTGGTGTAGGTTTGGTTACCTCTGAGGGCTATACATTATATTTCTTAAAGTAGGGGAATCAGTTTGGGTGTACTGTACAATAATGTGCAAAATAGACTTAAAAACCAACGTGAAAAAGAATTGTAATAAGATCGTGATCCTGCCTGAAATGAATCATATGGCCCACCCCTACCCTTGAATATACCTGACTTGTAGATAACTTGTAGTGTAAAGCTTTGGCATAGGCGGGGTCTGTGTAGATATCAGGAACGGAGAGCTTGTCCTCAACAGCCACCATCTTAAGGCCCAGGAGGTGTCTGTCTATGGCCTGGCCACTGATCGCCTGTGGGGATGGAGAGAATTCCTTCATATGTGATGTTAGTCACCAAATGTTAACGACTACAAAAATAAGGCTTGCATCATTCTATATTTGTATTTTTGCAAACAATCAGCAGTTAACACTATTTTCCTGAAACAGCTGGTCACTGTAGCTTTTATCAACCGTTACTCAGACAGGAGGAAAAAGAGTTTGTTGGGGACTATTTTCAGCAGCGGATGAATCCACATGTGTTGCTCTAGTGAGTGTTTGAGTCAGCAGGACGGTGTATGTGGGACTGAGTCTAAATAAAGTCATTGATGTGTTTTAATAGAGCTCTATGGACAGAGGAAGAAGAGATATCCATACACTCTACTTGTTAGCAGATACACTCACTGTTGGTTTGGGTCTGCTCATTACACTTATTGACAATAAGAAAAGTATAGATTATCACCGGGCTTATCCTCAACTCTGCCAATCCAGGTCCTGTGGATACTCACCATGGTAGTATATGACCTGTGTGCGTTTACAGCTTTCACCATTCGATCAACTTTCTCTGTGTTCTGTGAAAAACAGGAAGGAGACAGGAATGTTACAACACATCTTAGAGCAAGTTAATGTTGAACAGGGTTCAGATATGTTTGAAAAGGTGACTTGAAACTTTATGGTCAGGCTCAGCGGTCAAACAACTATGAGTTCTCTTTGAACGACTGTTGAACCATTTAGGCCAGACGCAGGATATGAGGCAGCCATTGAGTGCACGTGTAGTTAGAAGCAACTATACATCTCCAGCCTTAGTGTTCAGGCTGATTAATTAAGCCCAGCTTTACCATGTCAGACAGCTGGTCAGTTTAATGCCCAAATGGTTGCTGTAAATACTAATACGTCCCAATAAATGTTGCCTCTCATCAGACCTGCTTGCTGGGGTCATCGAAGGCCTTGACAAAGGAGGCTGAGGCACTTGAGGCTGATCGTATTGTATCGGTACGGCCCAGTCTGAACATACGCTGGGAGGCACTTTCATACGTGGCACAGCAGCACTGGTACATCCTGCCGAGACAAGAGGAGAGACAGAGCGGCTACTAGCTACTTATCATGGATGCATGGATTCGGTTAAAGCAGCAGCGTGTAGGATTTAGTGGCATCTAGTGGAGAGGCTGAACTCCCCTCCCTACGATGGCCTTCAGGTAACTTAACAACTTAAATGTCATTCTCTAGAGCCAGTGTTTGGTTTGTCCTTTCTGGGCTCCTGTAGAAACATCGCAGTGAACCATGGCGGACTCCAAGGACACCTGCTTCTGATGTAGATATCAAGGACTCATTGTATGATAACGAAAACACAACAACTCTTAGTTCAGGGGATTATACACTAATGAAAACATCGTTAGCAATATTATATTACATTTCTGTCTATAAATCCCCTTAAATCTGGTCCTTTAAGAAAAATCAGCCTGGCAAACATTTTATGAGGGAGAAAATGCACTCCATGTTTGTTAGAGTGAAAGAATACACAACATGTGTATATTCAGTGAGCAATACTGAATATACACACACAACATCTCATCCCAGTTTATGGAAACAAGAATCACAGCCTAACTGTGTGATAAACGTTTTCTACATGCAGCACTCTGCTTAGCCTTGGTTTAGAATGTAAAGAGTAAAATGTCTGCATACAAACAAACACAGGCATATCTCCACACGACCTCTCAGTATCTCACCTGTAGTAAGCCAGTTGTAGCGCCATCTGTATGAAAGCATCAGGGCTCATCTTGTGGGCTTTTGGGACATTTTTCCCAAAGTGGCCAAATACTATGACCCTCATATCCAGGTCTTGGGCCAGTCTGTGGTGGAAGAAATGACAAGAGAACTGTGTGTATGATCAGCTAAAAAAACAAACGCAGTTGACTGACCAAATGCTGATCACTTAAAACTCCATCCTCCTTTCTTTGTTGACAAAGAGTTTAATCCCACGGTTAAATCCCAACTCACAAATCAGTTTCTCCTCCTTCAGCCATTGAGCGTTAAAAAAAACAAAGACTAAGCTCTGATGGCTACTTTAAGTTTCGTTTCACGTTAGTCACGTGCTCGCCCACTGACCAATCACAGCGCACGCTGCACCTCACTGCAGAGCTGCACCTGAAAACTGAGCTGCACGTAATGCTGACGTACTTGTAGGCCAGCTAGCAGGCTCTGGCACGTCAAAGAATACGCCCAACGTGTCAAACTAAAGATCTGATTGGTTGAACACTATGACAATCAACAATATCGTTCCCATTCACTTAAACTGCAAAGGGATTCACTTGTGAGTCTGCAGGCCTCTGCCTCTCTTCTTACCTAGAGACACAGAGGTGAAATCTGATTGGATAAAAGCTCTACTTAAAACAAGCTGCACTGGAAGCAGAGCAACTGAGGAAGACAGTAGCTGTGCAATGAGAAAATAAGATAATGGGGAAAATAATTACAATACATGTAGTGTATTTATGAAATTATTAAACTATAAAATAGCTATAACTTTGTGATTCTGTTTAGGCCAGCAGAGAAGGCCTTGAAGGCCCTGACGGCCCACCACTGGTATACATACAATCTACTGGTCACTGAGTGTCATATTCATATCTGCCCTCACATGTTCATGGCGTGCTTGGCCTTCTCAATGTCCTTCTTGATCTCAGGTGTGATGTTGAAGTGCAGTTTCTGGGGCATGGGCAAGGCCACCATGGGAGACGGAGTCATCTCTGGCTTACTCCTGTTATCACAAACAAGAAAGATGCGACACATGAGATGGAAGAAAAAACAAAGTGATACTTAATGAAACCATAGTTGTCCAGGTGGGATTGTTTGTCTGTGATCAGTCTGTCCATGTCTCTGTGTACTCTCTGTCTCATTGCTGAACTTTCAAAGACACTCTTGACAAGAGGAAATCCAAAAAGACGCCTACGGAGTCTAATCAGTCCTTGACCTACTTACGTGTATTCTACAACATGGTCGATCAACGCCACTATGGGTGGGCCCTCAGCTGGTGCATGCTCGTAGTTAGCTCCACATGTCCCGTCTTCTCCAATAATAAACTGAAAGAAAAATCAGAAACTTGCTTCAAAGGAATTTGTTGACACGGTCAAGTTTCTTCGTTACCAACTTTACATCAGTATTTACATTCCAGAGCTATTCAAAGTCTTTTGGAGCAAGTCTCCAGTCTGTTTAAGTAAGCCACGTTGGTGTTTCATAAAGCAGGGCATGTAGTGAAAAGCCTGGCTTCAATGAGACTAAAACACTGAACCAGGACTAAAGTGTTTCAGAGAGTATAGAGGACCTAACAGGATCAGTGAAACCTGTTCATTCATGAACGCAGATCATATTAACTCACAAGAAAAAAAACCTGATATGTGAAGACGAAACTGCAATGTCTGTGGCCACGGAGCAGTACATATTAAACCTACAGTAGAATATAAATGAAATAAATAAACAAAGCCACAGCAATTAAAAGGGGATGAGGAGTTACATTAACATTCAGTGTTTCTCACCAAAACGCAGTGTGAGAGAGGTCAGAACATATTTCTTACCATGATAATACAGCCATGAGTGAAGTAAAGTAAGACGGTTATTTAACATCATTAGATTTAAAATCACACATGTGGACTGGAATACTGTGTAGATAACTGAAGTACAGTGCAGCAGTACTGAGGGACTGCTGGAGAGAGAAATAACACTGTGTCTGGCTCTTTTACACATGATACAGAGACTACGTCCATATTTTCTACAGTGGGTCATCTCCATCTTGACAGTGACGACACAGGCCGACTCTAAAAAGGGTCAAAGAGGTGGATCGTTGGTGGAGCGGAGGCGGCCGGGTGACGCAGCAGAGCAGACAGCTAGACTTAACTTTAAGCCCCAACATCATTTAAATGGGTGAGTTGTATAAAAGTTCTCCCCCCGTACAGATGTCATGAATGGAGATATTAGCTTTAGAGACCAAAACCGTGTTTGGTACCAGGCTGCAAACATGTTTATTTCTGCATTTTAACATGGAGGTCCATGGGGATGGACTCGCTTTAGGAGCCAGGCTCAACTGTCCATCTGAGGAGTTTCAGCTTCATTTCTCAGCTGTGGAGGTTGCGGCTTGGTCTGTCAGCTTAACCTGAAACTGATTTTTGAACATTTCCACATTATCTTATAGCCAGACCTATTCAAACCTCTTTTATGAAACAGATGTTTTTAGGTAAAAAACCTGATTTACAGAAATAAGCCTGGTTTAACTGGTAATCTTGCGTGATGAAATAGCCCTTGTGGGACTATATTCAATGTGGCTTTGTTGGCATGAAATTTAAAACAAAAAACAAGGTTGTCAAAGCACGACTATAAAGCCTTTGTCTTGGACTTAGTCTCACATTTATAGGCTAGGAAAAAGCATAAAGCAGGAAGAAACACACAAGCATGACAAAATGAAAACATGGCTCTGACAGAGCAGCAGCCTGAGCCTGTAGAGAGTCTGAGGGAAACATTAGTCCAACTATTACTAATAACTGCACTGTGTGTGTGTGTGTGTGTGTGTGCGCAGAGATGGGCAAAAATACATCAAAATGTATTTTGATACAAAATACCCCTCAAATAAATGTATTAAAATAAAATACAAAATACTGGTGCCAGAAAATGTAACAAAATACAATACATGTATTTTGTATTTAAAATATAGCAAATACTTTTTTCTGGATTTTCCATTTTCACACAATTTGGTATAGCAGAGCATTCAGGTTTGGGCTATAATGTACACAAAGCTCTGGTGAACCCAGAAAAAGGAAGAACAGTCACAGAATGTCAGTGTAACTAAGCAAAGCTATTAAAAGACAACTTAATTGATTATGTATATATATATATATATTCTTATTAATGGGACTTAACAGCCCATAAACTTTGGCTTTGTATCAACAAGAAAATATTCATCACATATGAATAGCATCACACATTAGGCCTATGTATACTATAAAAGCAAAATATAGAATACTTTCATAATATGCCTTTTAAATAAAATAAATTGGATATTTAATGTTTTTTTAACAAATGGACATCTACTGTCATAGCCTGGCTAACTGTGAACTATATTATCTGCCAGTAATTGATATGGCATTATGACATTCACATTGAGAAGATACAGCATAACTTGTAATACAGTGCAAGATTAGATGGTCAGACGTCTCTTGATAAGGTTATCATGAACATACAAGCTCCCAATCTCCCTCTTCCTATAGCTAGCTACTCCACTGATAAGTTAACTTGCTAAACACTGGCTATGCACTAGCCTAGACAGCATGCTAGTGTCATTAGCATGTTAGCATCGATCACTAGCTTGATATTATAACCATCACCATGTATATACAATGGGCTACGTAGCCAGACCCAGACATAAATTATACATCAAGCTAGTTGACATCTGTCACACTCAGATAAAATATTTAACTTGAATGACAATCTGTTGAACTTGAGGATCTGAAGACTGAACTCGTGAACTGTTTGTTTGATTCGTGGAGATTTTGAGTATTTTAAATACAAAGTTACTCCACTCTAAAGTATTTTGTTACAAATTACGTTAGATTTTTATCGGCCCTATCAAATACAAATTACAAAATACTCAAAAGTAATTGAAATACGTATTTCAAATACAAGTAATAGAAATACTGCCCATCTCTGTGTGTGTGTGTGTGTGAGAGAGACTCAGTGGGTCACCTGCAAAGTCTTGTCAAACCAGCGGTTGCCACTGTTCCACTGGCTGCCTCCTCCATGCAGCATCTGGACGGCAGCACTGCTGCGGTACGTCTCATCGGACACTTGAGGCATCGCTCCATCCAAACACAAAGTGAAGATGCTCCTTTGGATCGCTGTCACGGATTCTTTGTTGGTCTTATCTGGACATATCAAGTACACACACAAAGAATACAGGATGTTCTTATGTAATCAGGCAGTAACAGTTTAACTAAATATCTGATATATCTGTATATACTTAGAGTTGCTATATTAGGAATGCATCCCTGTGTTATTGTAACTTGTTTTAATGTCAAAACTCTGTTACCATTCTCATATGTATAGTTTTTGCCTTTTATTGGCCTGGCTATTTACTGCAGTCATTAATAACAATAATACTGTTACGCCATCACTGATTTAACCAAACTTGAAAGCAGCATATCTCGTTTAATTGACAGCTGATTGGCAAATCATTTTGTGTCAGAAGGGGGTGGGATGTCTGTGAATTTGATTGGATAGAAATTTAAAGAGGCTTACAGGGTGACTTTGTGTAATCAAATGTATGCACATATTGTTTGAGCCTTGAGCCAGCCACTCAGAAGCCAACTTCTTGCCCTGGATCAATGGCAGTGGTCTTTTAGCTCACCCTGGGTGAGGGTTACGTAGGCCCTGCCCCAGGAGTCACGATGCTGGGTGGTGAGGATGCCGACAGGCTCCATGTCGGTCTGTGGTGAGCAGCTACATATCCTCTCCAGCTGAACACAGAGCTCATCAGCTGTCAATGGAGTCCCATCACTGTTGTACACCTCCAACACATAAAACTGATTCCATGTGGAGAAAAGACAAGAAAGACTCCGTCAGGCTTCTCACTTTAACTCAACAGTTGTCACTTTGGCTGGACAACATCATCAGCTGTAGTTCATTCATGTTGATTCAATGAGTCCAAAGACTAAATAATAGCAGTTGTTGTCTGGTTAGTGTGCTCTCTCATATCAGAACATAAAGCTGTACATGTATCAAAGGAGCTTAAGACACCATTGTGTCTCTTAAAGTCAAACTTGTGCAGATTTCTGTTCCAGGTATTTGTTAGAAATCATACAAGCACACTGTAGGAAATGATCTTAAGATGAGCTGGAGAAGATATTTAGAAATAGTCTACTGGACCCCAGAGCAAATACTGACAATCTCAGAAGACCTGGGCCTGTATCACCGAGCAAGATCAGTGGGTTATCCAGCTATCTTTGGGTTTAACTCAGGTTTCGAAGATAATGATGGAGTATATCACCACGGTAACCTATGCAACTAGACTAATCTGCCCATAACAGGCTCAGTTCAGAGAACAGCCCGCCTCCTGACCAATCAGATCACTGGAGTCAAGTAATCATTGTGTTAAGTAATCATTTTTTAATAGATAAGTAGAATGACCTTGATTAAAACGATGTGTCCACTCTGGGCTTAAAAAAAGACTTCTAACAAATAGAGACCATACAGATCATTCCCACACCATGAATGGAGATTACACCTCAGATGTGGAAGTGTTGCCATGTGTCATTTGTGATGTGAGCAGTAACCTGGCTGTTCACCCCAGAAGCGCATTTCTCTGTGCCGGTCAACAAATGGGCAGATTTATGTGGGAATTAAAACTCCACTTATTCCTAATAGGTTGTTCTTCATAAGACAAAGCACCCAGATGTCATTTTACTACTGGACTACTGACACACAGAATACACGGAGCTGGTTGATACCAATTCTCCTGTAGCATTGATGTCAGGTAAGCCAGAGAGCCACACTCAGTTGAACTTGCTTTGTGAAACAGGCCCCTGGTCTTTGACCGGTGCTCCTCACCTCAAAGTTGTGGACTACAGTAATGTGTTTAGGGGGCCTGGAGCTCTTGGCGTGGTTCCCCACGGAGTCTCTCTTCAGACCAGGGACACGGCAGGACGACAGCACTTCGTAGTACTGGTTCATACACAGAGACTTCCCTCCCAGATATTCCACTGGTAGTGTCTCACTGCAAGACATACAAGACCTGCACTTAAACACTGACTGAGCCACAATATCATGTCATTACAATAGCGGGTCGGGTCTGTATGGCTGGGGAGTCCATGGAGTGCTTTGTCGAATTTGTTACAATTTGAACACTTGACACTTTAATATCAATAAACTCTGAATAAACAAGCACACAGCACTCTGTCCAGCAGCGGGGGCGGAGCGTCAGGCCTCTGCTGTCCGGCATGTTGTCTGCAGCTTCAGACAGTGGCTCATCGACTGCAGTTCACTTTGGCTGCTGGATGCTGATATAGCCTGCTGGATGCTGATATAGCCTGCTGGATGCTGATATAGCCTGCTGGATGCTGATATAGCCTGCTGGATGCTACATGAATGCTGAAGAATGTAAAGCGACAGCCGGGCCAGTTTCAAGGAGAGCTTTGGAGCCTTTTCTAAGTTATTTCAGGGTACATTGAGTTAGAACAGTAACATCATTCCACATTAGTCATTTCTTAACATCATAATAAATCTAGAGCTGTTTGGCCCTTAGTTGGGGCCCCAGGTCGCTACCTTACTTAACAGTACCTTGCCTAGTTAAGCTAACTTGGCTGTAACTTTGCATCAAACATGGTGTATAGAATGTGATATCTGTGCTAGATGTGGTTTTGTCAGGCCAACTGTGGAGGGTGCTCCCATCTTTAGGAAATGTATAGTAGGCAGAATCAATCAGGGCTGCAAATCTTTACTAAAAGCAGTAATAAAAAACTGAAGCTAATGCTACATCCATACTACTCCGTTTCTACTTGGAAGCAGAGTTGTCAAATAGAAACGATCTCCGTCCACACGGGAGTTTCAGCATCATTCTCGAGTTGATCTGCATCCACACGGCAGCCTTCGAAGGCGGACAGCATGCGACCATTAACGTACACTGGGCATGGGCGCGACTGTGTAAACAGAAAGTGGATTGCTTGCTTAGCTAAAAAAATAAATAAATACGACAGAGTAATAAAGTAGTCTTTAATAATGAAAGGTTGTATTTGATACTTAAGATCTTCCTCTAAAATCTCCCTCTATAAACTCAAACAGACCTCTCCCTGCCCCCCTCCAGTGGATAAACTGGGTCACCCAGCAGAAAAACAGGAACAGCATCTTCGCCCTCTATCAATTCTTTAGGGCATGGGGGAATTGCTCCATCTTTTAGGGCACAACTCTAGCTCTGAACATCATGTCCCGAGTAGCTAGCTTCTAAGCTAATTTTAACATATCCGCCAATGGGGAAATGCTAACCGCGATTAGCATTAGCGAATATAATATATCTTCGTACATCTTTTCATGCTTCATACAGACATACTTACAGACTAAGGTCTCTCACGGCTACCAAACGGAAGAAGTAAAACGAAGCAGCGTGTCTTCTCATTAGAATCTAAAAACAACGAGGCACTAACTGTTGTTGTAACTCGTAGCTCTGAATAGCATTTACGGCTAACTGGCTTGGCCGCATAATAGGGCTGATGACGCCGCTGGTCACGGCGCTCGTTAATCGCCCCAATAACAGCTGCTTCCTCCACAGAAATGCAGACTTTTACTGCAGCAACGCTTGGAATTAGTTATCCATGTTGAAATTAATTACTGGTCGCCCTAGCTGTTTGTTTTCTTCCGGGTACGGGTCACGTGATATCAGGGACGGAGACGTCATGGCTGCTAATAACCAATCCAGTAGCAAAACCCCAGAGTTTTCAAATACCTCCAACCTCGGGGGAGTTTTCAGACTCCTCCGTTTAGGGTGCTCCAAAACTCCGCTCAGTGTAAACGTAGCAAATACGGAGTAAAAACGGAGTAATGTGGACAGGGCCTAAGAGACAATACCAGAAATAGGACAATCAGGAAATGGTTATAAGCACAGTACTTACTTGTCAATCATCATCTTGAAGTCCAAAACACCTGCTATCAGTTTGGCAGCAAACCTAAACAGACAGATCCATGTTCATTTAAAGGTTTACTTTTATCCTGATGTTGGTTGAATGATGAAAATATAGGTAGTATCTACAAGTTTTAAAAATGCACTTTCTGAAAAAAACAGAACTGATCACGGCTGCATGATATTAAAGAAAAGTGCATTGTGTGCTGGTAATATGTAATAAATAGACACTGTGATAAACTAGAGTTGTTATAGAAACAAAGTGATTATCGTTGGGCCAAACCATTCATGTATGTGCATCAACTTGGACCGTGTGCGTCCAAACCTGATCAGGTCAACTCCCTGTCTGACATACTGTGTAAAAGGCCAACGGTACCACAAACACTGAATCTCTGCCGTCGGTCTTCTGAAGGAGGCTTGTCAAACTGCTGTCAACGGGTTGTAGGGTTGTAAAAACAGAGCTGAGCAGACTGTATGTGTGATCACCTTATCTGTCCCTGCTTATCACTGAAGTTCATGCGAGGCAAGACCAAACCAGGACTTGAATGAACCACCACAGGCAACCGGTAATCCAGATAAGCAACCTGCACCCACCACTCTGACAACTACAAAGACACAGAGACATAGAAACACAGAGACACATCACATGGAGAATAGTTTATTAAAAGGAAAGAAGTCAAATGTCAGTGGGCTTTGTAATGAAATTGTGTTGAGAAGGAAAGCAAACAGGTTGAGTCAAGGAGGCATTATATGGTTTTGATGCATAGAGTCACAAGTCTCACCCAGTTCTCAGTGTTCTGTGCCCTCTTTTCCAGGCCTCTCTGAAGTCTCTCTCCAACACCTCCTGCCTTCTGAAACTCATCCACCAGCTCTTTAGTGTGCTTCAGCTCATCCACCTCCACGATGGGCTCCAGGGCACTGATGTATCGCTCACAGGTCTGCTGCAGAGGGGGGACAGGCAGACTGGGCAGTCCCTTCTGGTGGGTCAGGTATCTGCCAGAGACCCGAGTCACCGACACAGGCTTCACCAAGTGACAGGGTTTCATTAAGCCACAGGGTTTCGCCATCCCCACCTTTACCTGAGAGACAAACAAGAGGATAATAAATACTTTTGTGGTGTCATTTTGTTGAAAGAGTGTGTTATAATTTCCCCAGGCAACTACGAGTGATTCGGAAGACTAGAAAAGTGCGATACAAGTACAAGTCCATTTATCATTTAATGCAAGGACTATGATAGTACATGTTGCAATCCACTCACACACCCACAGCAAGAATGTATACAGTCTGAAGAAGAAGATGAAAACAGAGCGGAGGATGAGGATAAGGTTTATAACAGTACAGAGTAGTAGAAGTGCAAGGCGCTGTTGCTTGATGAAAGTTGTCCGGTTGTAACACACTGCGTACCTGTGTGCATAAGAGTGTGACTATTTTGATTATAATTGTGTTTTAAGACTTTTTTAGGAATGGTGTTCTATCTCTGTTTAACCCACTTGTCTCTTTTTTGAGGATAATATTTAGTCAGTGATATTACTCTAGTTCGGCATGGTACGTCTTCATTACCTACAAAACCCAATTGCGAATCACCTTAAAGTGTAGGCTAATACACATTTTCTGCATTGTTTGAATAATTGTGATCATAAATACACTATGATTTTTAAGCGAGTAGAAGTTATTTAAATTAGTTCAAATACATAATTAGCTTTACAATCCAATCGATTCAGTGTCCCCTAAAAAAACACTAAAAAAAACAAAAAAAAACAAACTGTTGCGTCTCTTTACCCATATTATTTACTCTTCATTTTTTTGAGAAACATTTGATTATTATGATCGTTTCAGCTTACCTTGAAACGATCATAATTGACATTGACATGGGAGTTTGAGGTTGTCCGCCTGCACTATTTGATGACATATTTATCCAACATTTTATCTTTGTGTATTATGAAGCTTTGTATGCTTATCATGTGTTTTTATTGCATATATAATGGTTTTACAGGAGTTTCAAGCAAGGTTATGATTTGGGCTGTTTTTTTATTGAATTGTGGTGTTTTTTAGTTGTGATCTGCCATTACTGACCCCGCTCCTTGGCAGCAGTTCTCAGAACAGCTGACGCCTTTTAAAAGCGACATGTCACCGGTAGAGGGCAGCCTGTACTCATGTTCAACTCGACTACAGAGTGGACAAATATGTCAACAAAAGTACGAAGAAGTAAATGGTAAAGTGAACATCAAAAATGAATTAGAGGATGACGTCATATTTAGAAGGCTAACAATGCACGTTCGATTTATAGTTAGTTTGCGGTTTCCTCCCCATCCATCGCTCAACTATTCTATTTTATAGCATCTGACGAACAAAAATTAAAAAAATTATAAGCAAGTCTCCTGCTGCATTATGTTATCCCGTTAACTGCTGAGGAATAACGTTATATATTTGTGATATCCGTCACTCAAGGAAACAGCTGACGTTAGTGTCGTATAAACGTAATCTACATATGCTTCTGTGAACGGACTATGTTTATGTCCGATCATATTGAAATGCTCTTCAGACATGTTACCGTTACTCCGAGCAGGTGCGTTTGCCGAATAGCAAACTGTTGTTACTCATCATTCTATATCAGTAACATTGAGTAACAATGAGTTTATTTTGCTATCATTTCTTCTATAGTATAATCTATAGTTAGCATCGTTAGACCAAGTAACATTAACATATGTTATTATAGTCTCGGTCAAGCTTGTCCTCAAGTGTCTTTTAGCTAACGTTGTATTGAATCTTACCGAACCACAACAATCACCTTTGACCCACTTAGCTTTGCTAACGTGAACTGTTAACTACCGCTATCTGCTTCAGTTCACTACGAGCTAAGTTAGCAAAGTTTGCTAACAGCTAGCAAAAACTAATTCACCACCTTGCGGTAGTTAGCTACCTAGCGTTAACTGATCAATCACAACCGTTAAGGTTATCTTAAGTCCATAGTTCGGAAGTCAAGTATATCAATTTCAATAACTTTTGCTCAAGTTGGCTTTTGTTAACGAGCATAATCAGCTAAAAGCGCCCTACTCACCATAGTTCTGCTGCAAATGCCCCACATTGTGCATTCGGAGAAACGCCCCCAGGTTCAGGTCAGTCAGTGCTCAAAGTGTAGCATCAAGTATTGGTCTTTTAATGAATCTGCGTTATGTCAGACCCATAGATTGTTTATAGGTCAGACCCAATGGCGGCAGCACTCCTGAGTTTATACCGTACAGGTCAGCTGCTCAACACAGTTAGTGAGTGGCGCTCAGTGGTGGGTGTGACTTATTGATGGAGTCATGTAGTGTTTCCGGTATATGTTCAATAAATGACTACGGAGGGGAACAGTGTTACGACATGCGATGTTAGCGGAGCATATAGCGTTCTGGAAGAGGGACTAAACAGGACATGCATTTCAGTACTTTAATATTTGATACTTCTAATATATTTTTGCTGATCCATTAGACTCGATGTATTGTTAGTAGGGGCTATTCGATAGAACCTGGGGCGCCATTAATATTTTGAACAGCGGTGGCAGTAATGCGCTGTGGCTAGTTTAAATGTGCCTTGAACCCACGAAGAAGACTGTTATCCTCACCATGGCGGAAACAGAGCAGCAGTCAGGTAAAGCCACGGCTGATAGCTATTGCTTAGCTTTACGAGGCACTGTATCGCTTTAGCTCTCTTGTGTTAAACTATGAGAACGTTAGCAGGTGATGCACGCTGCCACATGGGACACTAAGTCGTGAATTAACTATTCGCTTGGTATATAAGCCTAGGAGGCATATTGTCGCTGTCCTCGTGCAAATACATCCCTAACGTTACATTTTGAATAACTTCAGTTGCCATTTGTGGTTGTTAATTACTAGTTTGTCATTGTCAAACTCTTAAAAAGAACTAACGGAAGGTGTTGGCTAGCACGTAGAGATAATTTGCAGGAGACAGTTTGCAGTGTGGCACCACTGGCGTTCACTTATTATTAAGAACATCATCATGAGAGATTGTATTTAGAAGTTGGTTAGGGTTACATTATTCCACGCGGAATGGAGCCAAGTATTCCTGTTGTCATTGAGTAAGCGTTCTGCTTAAAGGTGTAAGTGCAGCAGTCACAGGATACGGATTTAAACATGATTTGTCAAAAATGAAGCAGCAGAGGCCAAGATTTCCTTAATTGTAGTCCTTAGTTTGAGTCAAGCTCCAAAAATACTGGGTCCTACATTTCCCATCGTGCAACTTAATGCCTTTTTTGTGAGACCTCTTCTGTCTGGTAGACATCCACATCTTTTAAAATCCAGTTTGTAATACTCTGAAAAATCTACAGTAGACAAAATGAATAATTTCAGATTGAGTGAATATTGAATTCTCTTATTTGAAAAAACTGCCAAAAACAATAAGATTTCTGCTGCATATCTGAACTGCAATTTCTTCTGAAATCTGTCTTTTCTTAAACTATTTAGGATCCACTCCAGAGGATGAAGCGCATGAAGTCACAGACAGCGTCACCTTCATGGTACCCAAGAAAGAAATCAGCATGGTGCCAGACATGGGCAAGTGGAAGCGATCTCAAGTAGGTTGCTGCATCAGCATGGTGCCAAGTCTTCTGTTTTTTATTAAATTAATCTCTTTAATAATAATGTTTATCATCTGCGATTCTGCGCTTTGTTCACACCTGCAGTTTGTTTGCTGTAGTTGTTTAGAGGTTTTTTATGATTGAATTCAAGCAAATACTAATGAAAACATTGGGAAGCGATTGAATTTATTACGTTCTTGAAGTGTACAGGTGAAGAGTTTTGTCTGATTGTAGTCCAGCACAGTGGAACAAAGGCCTAATCCGGATCAATATCCATTTAGTAGCAATATTCCTGTCAAAATCAAGGTATTGGTTTTAGTTTTTGTAGCAGTTGGTCTGACTGCACATCTTAATACACATGTCTCCCTCTTACAGGCGTATGCTGACTACATGGGCTTCGTTCTGACTCTGAATGAAGGTGTGAAGGGAAAGAAGCTCACAAGTGAATATAAAGTGTCAGAGGTATGTTCTCTTTCATATCAGTCGCTTCTAAAAGCATGTGCTGGTAGCCTCTACATATGTTTATTGTTGAGGTTAAAGAAGATGAAAAATAACAATACTCCCATGTCCCATATTATTTTGAAAGAAAAACATCTAATATTGATCTGAGTGGTGCAGGTCCTGCAGACTATATTGGTTCATTGTGTGTGAATAAAGCCAGTCTGCATCTTCATGGTCTTTGTTAGTGCAGTCTCGGATTTGTTTGGGGACTGGGCAGCTATGGAGAAGGCTCTGTCACCCCATGTCCGGTGCTTGGTCCTGAGCGGAAGAGACAGGAGGTTGGCATCAGAGGAGCGGAGCCGACGGGATGGAGTGTGGTGGTGAAGCAGGTCGGTGATGTAGGAGGGGGCCTAATTATGGAGGGCTTTATGAGTGAGAAGAAGGACTTTGTATTGGATCCATTGTGGGACGGGGAGCCAGTGGAGATTCTGGAGAACAGGGGTGATGTGATCACGGGAGTGGGTGAGCAGGCAAGCAGCAGAGTTCTGGATGTACTGAGCTTATTTAGGATTTTGGATGATGTGCTGTGAAGAATACTGTTGCAGTAGTCGATTCTGGGGGTGATGAAGGTGTGGATCAGAGTTTCAGCGCCAGATAAGGAGAGTGATGGGTGGAGACGGGCCATGTTTTTTAAGTGGGGAAAAGGCAGTTCTGGTGATTTGTTTAACATGGTGGTCAAAAGAGAGGTTGCTGTCAAACATGACTCCGAGGTTGCGGATGTGTGGGGAGGAAGACAGAGTGGAGTTGTCGATGGTGAGGCAGAAGTTGTGACTGGTTTTAGTGAGGGATTTGGGACCGATGATGATCATGTCAGATTTATCACAGTTGAGTTTGAGGAAGTTGGTTTGCATCCATGATTTAATGTCAGTGAGGCAGTTGGTGAGAGTGGAGTGAGTAGCAGTGGTAATGGCTTTTGTGGAGATGTAGAGCTGGACATCGGCGTAGCAGTGGAAGTGGCGACCATGTTGACGTATGAAGTTACCAAGAGGGAGCAAGGAGAGGATGAGCAGAAGAGGTCCAAGTACCGAATCCTGGGGGACGCCTTGAGACAGAGGAGCAGTGGAGGAGGTGCAGTTGTTGATACTGATGAACTGTTGTCTGTTTGTGGTGGAGAGATAGAAAGGGTGGGGGAGGTGTTCAGGTTGCTGTAGTGTATATGGTGTCAATTTTTGTTTGGAAAAATGAAAGGAAAGAGTTGCATTTGTTCACTGTGAAGGATGTGTAGGTGTTGTCCCTGGGTTTGAGAAGCTTGTTTATTGTGGAGAAGAGAGCCTTTGGGTTAGAGGAGCCAGAGTGTATGAGGTGTGAGTAGTAGGTGGACCGGCTGAGATGAGAGCGTCTTTGTATTGTTGAAGGTAGTCAGAGAGGGCTTGGAGATGGACTGTTAAACCTGTTTTCTTGCAGAGTCTTTCAAGCTGGCGCTTACAGGATTTCATATGGTTGAGTTCAGGAGTGTACCAGGGAGCTGAGTGTGTGTGAATGAGACAGTTTTGGTTTTAATGGGAGCCAGCTGATCAAGACAGGAGGAGAGTCTGTTATTGTAGTAGTTTACAAAATCGGAGGGATTATCAGACAGCGGGTGAGGGGAGGCAGACATGGTACTGGCAAGAGAGGCTGACAGAGTTGTGGGGGAGATAGCTTTAAGATTTCTGAAGGATGTGTTGCGCTTAGCTTTTGGGATGGGGATAGGGATGTCAATGTCCATGTCCAGGGTGATAGCCAGGTGGTCAGAGATATTGAGGTTGAGATATTGTGAGACCAGTGGAGCAGACCAGATCCAGGATGTGACCTCGGCTGTGGGTAAGTATTAAAACAGCAACAAGGTTAGCAGCAAAGTTGTCCTTTCACCTGAGTGTGGCGCTACGGCTGAGGAAACGAGGTGTGATGAGCACATACAGATGCATCCTTATGTCCTTCTTTCCATCTACATTTGCTTGTGTATGGAGGATGTTGTATATTCAGTACATGATGTAGCTGACTCAGATCCTTCAAGTTTGGAAGTAGTAGTTCAAGATATCCAATGTGTCCACTTACTAATGATATCTGTCAACCGTGTTTCGTAGTCGCTTCATTTCCATGACAACGCTCTGACAGATGTCCATGAAAGTGAGCTTGATGGTGGTACTCATTTAAAATACAAACACAGCTTATCACACATGAAGCTGTATTTGTGTCTAAGCCGTCAGTTGACTTCACAGAATCAACTAGTGTTCTGATGGAGCGGCACAGGAGCTGCTGTTCTTCAGAATAATCACATTTTCATACTTTGTAATTTGTCTGAGAACAGAAATATAAGATGGTGAGAACAACTCTTGATATTCTGCTACATCAGGGGTCGCCAATAGGTGGACCGCGGTCCGGATCTGGACCCAGACGCCGTTGTATCCGGACCCAGGACCTAAAACCGATAGATAATTGAGAATTATTAAATTTTGACGGCGCGCCTCTATTTTAACCGGCGCAGCTTTTTCAGCCTTTACGGTACTTGTTCAGCGGTGCAAATCACATCACGTGATGCAGTTCGGCCAATCAAATATGGGTATTCGACAACTTTCCTGAATCAAGTGAGATACACACACGGGAGTGAGAGGACGAAGAGTAGGAGAATAATTACGTGAGTCAGAGAAGTTATTTCACATGACGAGAGAAAAGTGGTCAGAGAGACCAGAGTCTTTAACCAAGAATGAACAGACTCTTATAGGTTAATTCTTCCCACGGACAGTTTAAAACCAGTATGTCTCACATGTTCAGAGACCATGACGATTATTAAAAGCGGTAATGTGAAGCGCCACTACAAGACAAAGCACCACAGATAAAGATCATGCACACTAATTCCTCTTTTTAGAAGATGAGAAAAATATAATATCGTAGCTTTTTTGATTGACATCACTTCACACCTGAATGAAGTGAATTTTAAACTGCAGGGCAAATCGGTGAAATTCATTTTTTCTAAAATGAATTACTTTATTTTAAGATGCACATTCTTCAAAAGCTTTCTGTTATGTCAGTTATTCTTTAATCCAGCCCTTATTTTACTTGAAATGAGAAGAACATGTATTTATGTATTTCTATGTATTATTTATAATCCATGCAGTTAAATTTGAAAACTGAGAATAATAATTGTTAAAATATAATTGATGTGTAT